CCAACAGATGTTCCCTTATGGAGTTTTGATGCTGGTGGTGGAGATGCTGTCTAACATGTTGCTCCAACATCTCCCATAGCTGTTCACCTGGGCTGAGACCTTTTAATTTGTCACCCGATTGTTCCACAGACAGTAGATGCACCGATTCCAGCCAGGGACTGTTTTTGTTAGATTCATAAGCAAAGACTTGGACATAAAGAGGCAAAACACACATTTGGCTTCCAAATCACATGATCAATATACAGGATTATTCCTTTTACTGCACACAGCCTGTCTTTCCAGCCTTAAACTGCGCAAACAAGCTCTCCGAACCACTACTATAATCATTTCATCACCACCATTATCATAATGTATATTCAAACAATTATTCTAGTACAGAAAATTAACTTAATCTCATACATGATACCAGATTGAAAAGTTTTCTTTTAGTTTCATTTTTCAGATGCAACAGTAATATCGACAGTGACAATACTTCTCCTGTTAAAACAACCAGTAAGATCTAATTTAGCCTCAAGAGCCATCCTGACTTTGTGGTTTCCCAAAGCCAAAACAATTTTAAAACACAGACAGTTAAACTTATATGAAGAGATTTTCTTGATAGAGGGGCCATGATATCAGGAGCATCTACATATCACGGCAATTCACTCTGCCAGTGTAATATTTAATCCACATAAATGAACATGTGGAATGCAAATGTCAGCAAAACTATAATTGGACCATGTGCCAACTCTGAAACTTTAATAATTAACTTCATGGTAAAGAACAGGAGAGTATGCACAGTGTACCAGAGGTGATTTTGAAGGAGAATACCAGTGGAATTTATTTGGTTTTACAGTCTGTTTCAGCAAAGATGTACTGTAAAAAAAACATGACTGTGTTTCTAAAGATTGTTTTAGGTCTAGATTTTCATTTCCTCCTGTAACTGACAGAAATTAGTCCAAAATAAAAGACTAATTTGATACTGACAGGCACAAATCAATCACACAGTTTAACCAAACAGAGGCTTCATAATTTCATATGGTTATCATATACAGCACTTCATACATTCTCTGTACAATAATGAACGGCAGCAAATAGTTTCCACTAAAGGAAATCAACCGTTTTTACTTCCATCTTAATCGAGTGTGTCCAGAACCAAAGAAGAAACATCCTATCTGATTGGCAGCAACCTTAAAAACACTGCTATTCTCCTTTAACCACTGAAAGGTGATTTTTAGCAACAGGATGATCATAGGAAACCAGAGCCAGACATTGATGACAAAATCAGGATGGCCTCAGGATGCCAGCTGTACAGAATAGTGCAAGTATTACTATCATTACTAGCTATCAACATCAGGCCTGCTGTCCCACAAGCAATCTACAGGTCAGCATGCTGCAGGTCCACTAACTCCTAGGTGTACACTGGGACAGTAGATATAGGCTATAATATCAGAGTAAGGAGATATATGAAGCTCATTAGTAGCGAGAATAGACTTTTTGGTGCTAAATGTGATGCTGCAAAAGGTTCTGACCACGAAATGTACTCAAGCATTCATTCATAGCCAAATGCACCTGAGATGGTGCATTTTTATCCCAAGCTAAACACATTATACATAACATTTAGGATAGTGTTACAGTCCTCACCATGATGCCCCTGCAAACAGGCTTCAAGCAGACAGTGCAGCCCAGAGTAGGAGAGCTGCTGAACTACTCAGAAAATGTTCTTTCCATAACATGTTGTGCTCATAGACTGAGCTTAAAGACATAGACCTCAGTGGTTTCAGTCATTTCTTCAATTATCTGCTAAATATCATGGTAAAAGCCACTGATTTACACTGGAGTGAACTAAAATGAATTGATCTCAGTGTCAAAGACGAGCTGACAGTTCTGAAATGTTGTTCTGTTGTGGTCAGAAGCAGCTGCCCCACTGCAGACATCATTTCAGGGTTTTTCATTATATCCTTTGGAATTACAGAGAACAGTAGATTAACAGAGGAGTGAATCTAGCAGAAATGAAAGACATTTTATTAAATCTCTCCTCCCTACCCACACGGATCAGCACTTCTGTTCTGAGAGGCTTTGTGAAGAGCAGCTCTGATGTGCAACGAAACAGAAAACATCAGACAGCAGAAAGTGAAATCCTTTCATAAAGCCTTCATCAGCTGCTTTGAACCTGTGGTGTTATTCCAACAGATACGTGCTGAAATCCAAGGGAGGCCTTTCACCCTGAAAAGGTGAGTTTACAGTATAATGTACGTTCAGGATGAAACATTCCATCTTTACCTCAAGAAGAGATGTTAGGTATGACAGCAGCATCACCACCCCATGACATTCCAGTGTATTTAAATGTGACAAATGTAGTTTGCACTGAAATCAGAAATGTAGTTATCTAATTAGTTCTGTTGCTCTGATCTTTTCTAAGCAGATTCCATCCAACATTAGGCCTTGTTAACAAATATTTGGCTCATGAGTAATAACTGGCACTCGACAAAGGCCCGAGTTTGCTGTGTGAGTTTTAGTGACTAATACTGAATTTAAATATAACATCTGTTTGTTTACAAGAACACTCCTCAGGGTGCCTTTAACCAAGTGGGAGGTATCGTAGAAATTAGAGATGCCTGATGCCACCAGCCAAAGGTGTTTTCCAATGTAGCTGCTTGTCATTCTGGTCTGTGCAACACGATATGAACACAGCATTGGCAGAAGTTGAGTGAAAAGTCATCTCTGTGCCAGTCCTGAGATGTATTTAGCTTAGCTTAGCACAAACACTGGAAGCAGGGAGGAAACAGAGAGTAGCTCAGCTCCATCACAGACACCTGCTAACAGCTCCAGAGCATCAGAGTGAAGTGCCTGAATGCCACCAAGTCTTTCAAACACTTTCCTAATTCAGAACAAAACCCTGTAGCTTACAAGACACAGCATGTAAACAAAACCATTTTGGAGCTGCTAGTGGATTTTTGCTCTTCTGACAGTAGAAGGCAGTTTCCTCTTGTTCCAGGCTTTGTGCTAAGCTAGGCTAACCACTCTGCTGGAGTTACATTTCCTGGCAAGACAGCACCAAGTGTGCATGCTTTTTGTTTGTTTGTTTGTTTGTTTGTTTCATATCAGCTACTTAGTCTTAGGCACTGTCTAGATATAAATGTGTGTGAAAGTGTAGTCAATTTCACGTGTCAAACAGTACACCCTGAGGTGTCTACAGATGCTACACCCCAGCTGAAGCAAACTTTGATGACAGGATCTCACACAGAACATGTTAACATGGCATGAGCTGGACCAGAGAGTCTACCAGCTGAAGACATCTCCAGCTACGTCTTAGTTTTCTACTGACTGTGGACATGTGGTTAAAGCATCAATGCAGCCAGCGCTTTGATAGTATAAAATCTTGCATAAGCCTTGCAGTAAGAAACATAGTAGTAGTTTCACTCTATACACATGCAGATCACATATACTTATATTTACAACTGTGAAAAATGAGCCACCGATATTTAAATGTGCTACGTCAGCTTCCTCTGTGCACCTCATTGGTGTTGGTAAAGTTTCAGTGCCATTATCAGTAATATTGCTTTAGATTTAAGTGGTAATCCTTCAACCATCTATTTGTCAAGAACCCACCCAAGCCTTACCACTGCCTGTTAATATTACTATGTAGATATTTTTGATTAAGTCATGACGTTCCTGCACTGCGTTAAAAAAACAGGAATGAAATCAATAATTCAGGGTATGCAAGCCATTTTACACTTATAATGTTTAAAGACTAGTCCAATCAGGAAACTAGCTAAACAGCTGTTTTTTGCAGATCACTATATTGTATTTACAATAAGTGCTACTTTTGTTTTTCCCATTTAAAATGTCATAAGAATAACCTATGCTGAATTTTGTGCTTTTATTTTCCAGACACCAAACATCTGTGTCCATCTCACTGCTTTTTTAACCATCAAAGGGCCAACATTTTCTGACCTCCCAGGTTGATATTAATTCAGTTTCCGAGTGAGGTAGACATGCTGCCAACAGCTGTCAATGGCACCAATGCCTGTGATGTCTAAATGGGACACTAGGTCTTTGTTATGATGAAAATCGCTGTGCATTTCAGTGGATGAAGCATGTGGATGCTGCACCATTAAAGTGCAGCACTCCTGATTGTGCCCTGTGTTCATGCTTGAACAGCCTTTCCTCAGCAGTGTGAGATGTCTCGCTCTCATTCTATGAAATGCCTTTGGTGTGAATCAGCTTCCAGTGACCTGAATTAGCCCACAGACTTCTATAGGACATGCAGGGAGCCAATTAGACAAAAGCAGTTGTTAGGACTGTGGGAGCTTAATCTGATCGACTCTGTCTAGGCTTCGAACTTTTGCTACTCAGTCCTGCATTCCTGTGATGCATGACTTGTCTTTTTTGTCTTTATTCTCCTATAAATGTTTGTGGTTGTTTGGTGTTAATTAAATGTGCCACTGCTGATTTTTTATTGTATAAAAACACATTCCTAGAAGAACAAAACTTTAAAAGGATTGTATCCATTTAGACCTGACATCCCATGATGCTTTAAATTTCCTTTATAACCCATGTATGCTCTAGAGCTCCTTGCAGTAAACAAATCTGTAACATGAGCCATCAGTTATTGGGATTTGAATGCGACTGAATCAATAAGACACATAGCTTAGCCACAGAGCTGCTCAATACATTTAAACTGGAGTGGTGGTAAACATATTACTCTCCTAAACTACATCAGTGGTTCAGTCAACGGTATTATCAATGACACTGACTTGTATTGGTTGAATTCACAGAGCACTGGAACTGGACTTACCAGTTTGGAGTTATTGATTCACTTTACCGATTAAGGGTTAAAGGATTTTTATACTGAGAATGTCCTGGTCTTTTTTGATTTCCTGTTTTTCACGGGTTGAATGGACTCATGTCTCCATGCAGTGAACTAAATGTCTAATATTGTTGGTTGCTTTGTGACTCCCCCAACACACACACACACACACACACACACACACACACACACACACACACACACACATACACACACACATACCTCACAATCATATATTCCTAGTCTCATTCCATTGGGGGTATAGGCGGCTTCGTTGTCACAGACTGATCCAACTGAGTCTTTACTTCATTTTGGCAAACTGGGCTTCAATAATAAGAGCTCGGTGAGATGGATGGGGCTGAGATGAAAATGGGAGGCTTTAAATCATGCAAGTCATTTATCTGTTCCCCCAGTAGTACCCTGCTCCATCTCTGTTGTCTCTTTTATCACAGCTCCTCACTCTGACGTGTCCGTGAATCGGTCCATCTGCAAAGAGACCAAAAATCCAATTACGTTCTCAGGAGCTGATCCAAAAGTCCCAGGAGTGCTGCACAGTATTTTCCTGAATTTTGTTTTGCTCACACTGGTTCTATGTCAAGTCCACTGGGGACACGCACAAAAATGAGATTAGTTTCTGCAGTTAGTTGTTGTTCTGTTTTCTCTGGCGTTCATCATTAGCGTGAGTGAGATGTGACAGGTGCTGCAACAGGTTTCTTTAGATGATGTTTTCAAATGTGGCAGAGTTGACACCTGAGGTATAAGAAAAAAAAATAGCACTCACCCAGAAGTGGTGATGTTTAATCTAGCTGAGCTTGTTTCGGTTCGCAGGTTTTTCAGAGAGATGTTGTTGATGAGGCGTTTTTCATGGACAAGCTGAGACAAGCACCTCTGTCCAAGAGGCAGAGATGCTTTGTAACATGCTTGTACTGTTAATAAGTCTGTGTGTGGGTGAGATGAAACGCAATCATCCCAGTGTTTGTCTGATGTGCTCAGAGTGGACACAAGTGGCATCAGAGGCAACACACCGAAATTTGCCTCAAAAAGGGAAAAGCTCTTTGCTGCTGTTATTAGTAGCCTTGGTCTTAGAACATAATGTCTGATTCCCTGGGGCAGACTGACTCCACCTGTCACTCCTGAATCTTTTTCTCCAGAAGCTAAAATCATTCAACCCCATTTAGATGTTTTCCTAAATGTGCCCAGAGCATGTTATCCTTTTCACATAACTTCTTTTTGAGCCTGTGCGTCTTTAGCCCGTTGAAGCCTGCATGCAGTCTCTCTACTCTAATGTCAGCATTCTCCTGTGGATCTGCACTATGATATCTACTTTAATGTCTAATTTAAATGCATGCATTTTACCATATGCATCGAATCGCTTTGTTCTTCTTTTGACAGAGCTTGAGGATACTCTTTTGCATCTCATCTTTTAGTGCGTTGTGCATTAAGTTTTGTATTGTGCATTTTGTGCAACTGCCTTGTTATTGTTTTCTTCTAGGCTACACTGACATCTGGATCCAAGCATTAATATGTTGTCTGTGATGTTTCAAATGCAGTGATCAGACCTGTTTACATGTGATGAGGTTCTCAGACATACAGAGCCAGATGGGTGTGAATGTCATGACTGTGAAGAGAGACATGAATATGAAAAAAAAATACACCCTGGTGCATTTTCTCAGGTGCTCTGAGCAGATTCCTCTTTCTGCCCAGCTTCTCCGCTCTCAGCCCCTCCCTCTGACCCAGCAGCGCTCCTGGAGGCCGTTCCCAGCGATGCAGCACTGTGCAGGCTGCCATCAGGGGTGGCAGCTGCAAGTGAGCGAGGATTGGAGGCAGGGCTGGCACTCACAGCAGAGTCAGGGGTCCGACTGGCACTGAGGTTGCCATCGAGGACCACAGTGGCCTCCAGGCTGTCAGAGTGGATGCCTTCGGTCACAGCCGTAGGGGAGACGGCATTCAGAAGGGGCTTGTTGGAGGCGTAGGTCACTGCAGCATCAGTGTCGCTGTCCAGAGGGAGACCAGAGGTTGTGAACTCCATTCCAGAGTCGCTCATCTCCATAAAGTTGTCTGAAGTCAGAGCCTGGTAGCGGCCTGGTTTGGACACCTCGAGGCCCTGGGGAAAGAAGAGAGGACAGGTCAAAGGAGATAAGGAGAGCATGAGTTTTAGGAAGGCAAGGCCACAAAGCAAGATGAAAGTCAATGACAAAGAGGGGAGAGGAGGTTCAAAGAGGACAAGGGGAACATAGAACGAAAAGGAAAAGAACAAAAGGAAGGTGAAGGAGGTGGGAAGTCAGGGGAGGTGCAAGAAGAGAGGAGGAAGGGATGAGGTGAGTCCAAACAGTGGTGAAAACAGAGCAGGGAGGTGCCATAGGATGGAAGAAGTGAAGGGGTAGAAATTGCGGTTAGTGTAAAAGCAATGTGAATAATTTATGCGCATGTTTCTACGACCATATTAATAGATTTATCTTGCACTACCATGCAGCCAACTTATTTTCCTTCTTACATGGAGACAATGAAAATCTACAGTCCATAAATAAATAATCCACATGAATGGGTTTAAGTATGTTAAAGAAAGTCAATCAGATGAGTGCTAAAGGTTTACACTGGAGGAGAAGCTTCACCTGCCTTCTCCACTGACTGGATAAGACATACAGTCCCATAATAAGGTCATATATTGCAGCAGCAAACTGTAGCTTCCCTGATAAAGTCAAGCATTTGTTGTAGTTTTGCTCCTGTGATTACAAGCTACTCTGATCACTGTGTGCTGTACAGTGAAAGTTTTTTAAAATTAGTTTTGTAGGATATGGT